CATCAATAATCAGAAGTTGTGCCAGAAAAATCTAGAGTTTGAGACAGTTTCAGATTTTGGGCTTTTAAAATATTTTAAATGGTTGCCTGTTCTACAGACATCAGTGAAAGTGCAGGGTTACTGAAGAAAACTGGAGTGATTTCTCTTCTGGGTATGGTGCTGCTGAAAGCACCGGAGACTAGTTGGAGTGTGGGGGGCTCTGATACATTGCATGTGTTTTTCTGTCAATTTGGTACAGGCAGTGACCTCACCTACCCAATCCCAGCTGTTCATTAAAATGGCAGTGATATTTGGGTATCTTTTTACTTTTTAAGTGTTGCTTGGGAATCTTCAGCTGAAAGAGAAGATGTGTTTTGGTGGTGTGTGGTGTTTTTTTTTTTTTTTCTGGAAGTACCTGGTATCTGTTTATTCTTTATAAAATATTTTGCAAGATATCATTACATAAGGATATATATTTTATATTTTGTCAAAAGAATTAGCAGGCTTCTTAATGATGTGTTCTGATTTTAGCTGTAATCTAAAAAAAAAAAAAGTCCCAAATAATGTTTTTTTAGAGCTTTAGAGCTGTATCTTAAAGAAGCTATCTGTAGACTGATACCTGCCTGACACGTGAAACACTGGCTTGGGAAGACATAAGGGAGACACTTTCAGCTTTCAGTTAGGTTGTACATTGAAATCATCCCTTTTCAGTTCTTTCCAAACCAGTGTCAAACATAAAGAACAGATGCAGACTTTTTCAGTGTGAATGGATTAATTTTTTAATTTATTGGTGACATGAATAGAGGATTGAACTTGGAATTTCAGCAGGTGAAAGAGAAGTGTATCTGCTGCCTTCTGTGTGTTAATTTTACTTTTGCCTGTGTCAGCCAAAGAGATGGGAAGTTCTAGTCAGTTGCAGATGAAGCTCCCAGCCTGAAGGAAATTGCTGAAAGTCATTGCACTGGTTGGTACCTTTGAGAAATCATGGAATCATAGAATCACAGGATGGTTTGGGTTGGAAGGGACCTTAAAGATCATCTAGTTCCAACCCCCCTGCCATGGGCAGGGGCACCTTCCACTAGACCAGGTTGCTCAAAGCCTCATCCAGCCTGGCCTTGAACACTTCCAGGGATGGGGCATCCACAACTTCAAGATGCCAAGGTCTTTCAAAGCTGTTTAAGGTGTGGGCTGAGAAGAGGTCAGATCATGAGGCAATGTCCCCATTTTCAGCCTTCCAGGACTGTGACATTATGCCCATGACATAATGAACACTTACCATCGACACGGACGGGTAGAGCTGAAGACGCCGTATGCATGTTTAAGTGTGTAAGGATAAACTGTGTGCTGTTTCAGCCTTTTCTGCGACAGAGCACCTTCAGGGCTGTGCTGACCTGTGTTTTATCCTGAGCTTTATCTGTGTCTGACTTTTCCTTGCTGCATTGCCCTGGGGGTCAGAGCTGAAAGTTACCAAAAAGCCTCATGGCCTCTATGAGACTTGCTCTAGCGAAGTGTGTAAGGATAAAGTATGTTTGTCTTAATGCCAGTCAACACTTCCTAATTTTTCCAAAAAAAGCTGTTGAGAGATCTAAGAGCTCTGACTGGCTTTGATTCTGGAAACAAGAAAAAAAGAAATTCCACTCCAAGAGCTTGGTGCTATTTTTATCTGTGAATATTCAGAATATAAATGTGCATGAAGCTTCTCTGGCTCAGACACCTCCACAGCAATGCAGCCAGCAGTATGAGCAGCAGATAAAGAACTTCCATAAATATTGGAAGATTCAGGATTTTTTTTTTTCTGAATATCTACATGCAATATGTAGTGATTGAACTAGGAGGAATCCAGAAACTGAGGTTGAAAGCAAGAGAGATGCCCTGATATGTCTGCACTTGATTGCATTCTTGTAAAAGTACTGTGGAAGTTTTATTGTGCAAGAATTGCATCTTACCCTTCCTAAGCACAAAAATCTGGCTTATTTATGTGCAAAAAAGTACAATTTCTGCAGGCTTTTTTCGGAATTGACATCATCTTTTCTCTGCCTGCTAAGGCCTGTGCTTTGTTGATTTATAATCCAATTTTACCTGGTTTTGTGACAGGTGCTTTCCAGTGGGAGCGATTAGAAGAGGATATAAAAAGGAAGTTGAAGGATCCAGAAAAAACTGAACACGTGCTTGAGAAAGTTAAGTGTATCCTGAAAACTCCAGGGAAGGTACATATAACTGTTGGGTTAACTGTTAGTATTAGTTACTTAAGTTCTTAAGAAGTCAATTTGTAGGCAAGGTTTCCTTGTCATTCTTCATTCTAAACTCACAAAAGATTTTATTACTCTATCAGTGTGCTGTTCCCAGGCATGTACAAAATAGAAACACAGATGCTAATGTAATTTGCAGAATTACTGTAATCAGTAAAAAAACACAAGTAGGTGTCCTAAAAGGATTACTCACATTCACAGCTTTGCACATTGTCTAACAATGTGATTATGTATTACTAATTCTCATGTAATAGAGGCCGCGCAGGAAAGCTTTGCGTTGCTTTCCTGAAATATGTGCCAAAAGGTATGTTTCTGCAGTAGACTGGGGAGAGTTGGTTTCTGTTATAAGTGCTGTGATATGGAAATCTGTCTATAGCTCAGTGTATTTAAATCAGCAGGTAGCTTCACAATAAGATGTAATTTATGTCACATTATTACGTTAATAAAAAGTTACAACATGGAATTGAATATAGAAATAGTTTTAACAGCCATTTGCTGATGGAGTTTATGCATTGCCTGATAATACATTACTTGCACAAAGCATTTCTGTCAGTTTAAATGGGAAATCATCTTGGACTGTCTTGACATAACGTAAAGATAAACATGTTTCTTAGCTGTCTTAAACTTCTGATCACTCAGCTGTGGGCTTGCCAGTCCTAAATGTCCACAGCTAAAACATTCACAGGGTTGGATTTAGAAAGTCCAGTAGATAGTAAGTCTGAGTTGTTGTTTCTTTATGCCTTCAGGATACTTTTATTTCATATTTAAGTTTTCCTTCAAAGGAATAGAAGTAAATTGTGATTTTTTTTGTTGATATGAATTAAAAATTAGTTAAGTAACCAGATAAGATTTTAACCATAAATTGAACGTCATCTGAATTTCATTTACCACAACCTACTCTAGTTTTGGTGTTCATTTTGGTAGCTTTAGATTGCACTTCCAATGCAAGAAAAACAAAACTGAAAAACTAACTTGGAACTACTGGATTTTGAAGGGTCTTGACACTAGCTTGCCCAGATTATTGTAAGAGAAATCTGTGCTTCATCCTCTGAGCTCCTTCTGCCTCTGTGGACATAAGATCAGGGCAATATGAAGAAACACACAACTTCTGCCTGCCTTGCGTGGCATCATGCCAGGGGATGGATGTGTGTCCCATCATTGCTCCCTGCAGAGCCCTCAAACCTTGTGTTTCTGCAGCCTTGCGTCCACACAGGGCATGCATGGAAAAGGTTGGAGTCCAGAAAATTCGTGGTGCTGGATGGGGGAGCTTTGTCATAGGTCAGAAGGTACCAAGGTGAGAGCTGAGGTGTGAGTGTAGGAGACAGGGACTCCCTGGAGCTGCTGCATTGCAGGAAATAGGAAAATACACCATAAAGATGACTGCAGAGAATTGCATGTGTGAGAGGAACGATGGAGTAGCATTAGTGAACGAACATAAAGTAGAAAGCAAAAGGCTGTTGTTTAGTTTCCCCATATAATTGTTGTCTTCTAATCTTTTATTCTGTGGGCAACTGCACGTGACAGTATTTCAATAGTAACTTATTTTGCAGCTAAACACTCTAAAGGACTGCAGATCTCACCAGATAAAACGGCTGTATAATACTTCTCTCAGGCTGTTCTTTAATACACCTGTCCTAGCTGATGTCATCTTCAAAATACAAGGTACGGCACCTCTGCTCCTGTTGACATGGGCACGGCTGTGCCTCCAGCATTCATCCCCTCTGCAGGACAGTGGCAAATGGAGGGGCCTGTATTTTCTGTGGCATAAAGAGTAAGAAAACAGATTGGCTTTGCTATCACTGTGGAAAGCACTTTTTGCTTAGAACTTATGTTCGTCCCTGCGGACGCTTTACAGTGATGTCCACTCTCAAGGTGGACTGTCCTGGTAGACTTTGTTCCTCCCTGATTCACACACAGCCCTCGGAGCTTAGCAAATGAGGGATGTGCTGCAGGAAAAGCTCCTGGAATGCACAGCACCAAGGCAGCAAGGCTAGACCAGGGTTTGTATCACAGGGGATGATGATTTTATTTTCAAAAACTGATGTATCTCTCTCATGTTCCCACCTGCACAAGTACCGGGGTGTATCTGAGGGCTTTGCCACCCATCAAACGTTGGAGAGGCATGGACTCTGGCGGCCACGCCTCAGTGAGAAGACCACAGTGAGAAGACCATTGTGACAAGACCACAGATACTGCTTGTTGACTCCTGACCACCTTCCCTCTGTCTCTCTCAGGCTGGTGCTGGCTGTGGACGTCCCCTTCCCTACCCTCCAGAAGCTGACAGGGACTTTTGTCCCACTCCTGTGTCTCCTTAGGCTTTATTTGCTGCCCTCCACCCTCCAGCGTGGGCATCCCTAGAAATGCACATAGATGTGCTGGGGTTTTGGTGACCTGCCAGTCTAGGTGCTGCCAACATGTGCTGTGTTTTACTGCCCTCCTAGATGCTGCCATACGGGTATTCGTGTTTCTGTCACAGGTCTCTGCAACTTCTGTAGGATAGGTGACTCCTTGTGAAAGCAACCGTCAGCCTTGCAGGTGCTTAGGTTAGACCTGCCTGGTGCTTAACTCTGCAAGTGTGAAAAAAGACATCTAAAGTATTGGTTCTTAAAAAAAAAACCAAACCACTTTGTTGAGGTGATGGTAAATATTTAGTAATAAATATTACAAAATATAATAAAAACATTGGGAAAAAAGTGTAATGTGCTTTTGTGAGAATGAGGCAGTTTTTAAATGCTAATGATTTTTTTGATTTGTGCACTCCCACCCCTTGTGCAGAAATGGTCTTCAAGGATTAGACAATTGTTTAATTATTTTCATCTTTAAATCTCAGAGCCAAACACGAAGCATTAGTCCCTCAAACATAAGCACATGAGGACAAGCAGATTCTTTATAGATGTTCTGTTCAATCATGTTTGACAAGGGCCTGTAGTGACAGGACAAGGGGGTACGGGGTTAAATTGGAATAAATGTAGATTAAGTTGGATATCAGGAAAAAATTCTTCCCAGAGAGGGTCGTGAGGCACTGGAACAAGTTCTCCCGAAAAGCTATAGATGCCCCATCCCTGGCTGTCTTCCAGGTCAGGCTGGATGAGGCTTTGAGCAACCTGGTCTAGTGGAAGGTATCTAAATATTTCAGCATTATTTTCATAAGACAACCATCAGGAAATTCACTTAGGCAAAATAATTTATTTAAATTCATACTTACTTAATGGATTTAATGGAATTTCATGTGAGATAATTTGCCTTTCTCCCCTTTTTGTGGTTATGTGAAGATTTGACTTCTGGAAAACACATTCATTACCAGTGGGATTACTGATGAACATGAATTACTCATTTGCATACGAATTCACAGCATTGAGTATTTATGCAATGGGTCCGAGGTTTGGTTAGTGTAAACTGCTGTAACAGTCAGATTAACAGTGGTGTCAGATTTTTATTTTCTATTTCAAAGTCTGCTTATGACTGTTAAAAGTTTGACCTATTTGGAGTATCTGGTTTTGGGAGGATGTTGTCATAATAAATCAGGTGTTTTGTTTGCTGGTGGCTGCTAGGCAGATGTAGGCATCTTGATTGGTATGTAGTGAGTGTGTTATTAGTTATGTATTGGGTATGTTAAACACTTTAATCATGTTCAGTGAAAAAAGACCTTCAAAGAAAATACGAGCTTTAATATCAAGATCTTTCTGTCTATATAAAGCCATCATAAAATCATAAAAAATTTTATCTTGCATCCTGCAGGTGCATCTGTACCAGCCCACAAAGCAGTTCTGGTAGCTCGCTGTGAGGTAATGGCAGCTATGTTTAATGGTAATTATCTAGAAGCAAATAGTATTCTGGTTCCAGTGTATGGGGTTTCCAAAGACACTTTCCTCTCCTTTCTAGAGTATCTTTATACCGACTCTTGCTGCCCAGGTAAGAAAATTTAAAAATACACATATATCTGTTACTAATTTTTCCACAGTGAGGCATTGATAGAGTAAAGCAGCAGCATGATTTCATTGAAAAATGCTAGATTGTAATGTATAATGTCTCAAGATTTGTTCATATTGTAAAATAAAAAAACAAAAAAGAAAACAGTCTTATTCAGGTAAAGTCAACTTCAGGTGGAACAAATACCACTAATAAAATGCAGTCTTTGTTTTCTGCTTACATAGCAAGTTACATTACAGTTTTTGGAATTTTCTTTCTACATCATGATAATACTGTTTTCTAATCTTAAATTTGAGGTTTACCTCAAAATTGTCAATTTATTTAGCATACATTTTGTTACTTTTAACGTGAGCAAGGTTAAACTGCAAGAATACCTTATTTATACACATGGATATATTATTAAATGCAAAACCAGAAAAAGAATATGTCAGCTGGAGTATTTGGCAAGAGAAATTGAGCTAGAGTATTTTTTATGTCTTAAGCTTTGTCTTTTTTAATGAGAAGAAAACCTACATTCTAAACAGGAAATATGATTTATATACAGATAATTTTCCTTTGATATAACAAATGAATGAATAATGTTGTGGTATGTGTTCTTGCTTTTGTTTTCTTTTCAAACAATTCTACTTTATTATTAGGTTTTCCACGTCCCTCTTTTCACTCCAACATTTCCTTGTATACCAGTTTAAATATGCAGCCACTGTACCCTATTTTTTAAAAAATATGATTGCTCTGTTTTCTTTTTGACCTTTTTGCTATATTTTCTTGTACATGTGTCATAGAGGTTCTTTTTAGAAGAAGTTAGAAAGCTAAAACCTCTTACTAATCATCACTCACCTTAAGTAGGCCAGCAGTACTTGACTCAGCATCTCTAAAATACAGGATATTGACAATAATTTATTATGCTTACCTTCTAGAAGTACTTAACTACTCTTTTCCAGTTTAATTGAATAGTTTAACTGGAAAAAGAGAGTGATACAGCAAACTTATAATGATAATAATGACAATTAAAAGAAGGTGATCACCAGTGGTTTTATTTTGTCTTCATTGCTAGGTGTTTAAAAGATGGTGGTGAGAAGTGGCTTTGGTCATCATAACAAAAAGGTAAAATACATGTAATTTATGTTTTCTTGTGTTTCAGCCAGTATTCTCCAAGCTATGTCTCTCTTGATCTGTGCAGAGATGTATCAAGTAATGAGACTCCAGCATATTTGTGAGCTTTACATTATCACACAGCTTCAGAGCATGCCTAGCAGGGAATTGGCATCCACAAGCCTCAGTATTGTTAGCCTGCTCAAAAAAGCTAAGGTAAGTGTTGTATATACCAAATAAGAGCATAGGTGTTGACTTGCTTGATTGTTAAGATTTTTAATATCTTAATTATTTTCGTTCACAAGGACAAACACTGATACACAATCTATTGGTCAGGGATATGTGGTGGCGCAAGACTGGCTGCAAGAAGGTCTTTTATTGCAGAATGGGCAGTCATACCATAATCTGTGCAATTTCCTTCATCAAGGACACATTGCAGTAATTCAGCTTAATTGCAGCTTCTGCCAGAAAAGATGTGGTTTAGGCAAGTGAAGATGGACTACTTCCTCTTTAGCTCAAAAAAGAAAATGGTATGATATGCAGGTGGCAAAGGAGATCTGACCTCATAGAATATTGAATGAAATACATAGAAAGCATGAAAAAAAACCCACAGAGGCTGAAAAATGAGAGAGAGTAAAGACAGTTTTAGAAAACCAAAGAGAAGAATAAGAAACAAATTATTTACAAGCCTCATGCAAGATATTGTCTTAAATGAACAGGATTTTGTGGAGAAAGAGGAGACAACACAGCCAACATGCTGTGCTCCTCACCTTCCTCTTTTTCTCAAGCTCTGCTTCTGTGCAGAAGACAAACATTTCCAAGATTCATGACTAAAAGAGGCCCAGGGGTTAATTGGCATCTGTGGGAGAGGGAGTTTTTTTGCTCATTCTTGGGTCTCCACCTGTTTACATATTTATGTCAATGAGTTTTCCTTTGTCGTCTCCTACAGTCACAACTTTATTTTGTAAACTGCTGTGTTGACGGTGGAAATCCGAAATATTTTGACACACAAGTCATGGTTGTGTTTTTGATATAATAGTAATGCATTTTGTTTCCTTTCTTCTCAGTTTCACAATTCTGATTGCCTTTCAACTTGGCTGCTTCATTTTATTGCCACTAACTACCTCATCTTCAGTCAAAAGCCTGAGTTTCAAGATCTTTCAGGTAATTTATCAATTACTTTTAAACCAAGAAGAAAGCCCCACATCTACTTCCCTGTTCTCAGTTCCCCAGTGGGATATGAGTTTATCAATATCGCCTATTAATTTTTTTTTTTTTCTGTGGAAAGTAATAATACTAACAACACTTCTGTCTCCATGTTGTTATCCTGATGGATATCAGGCTGTGTCTGAGTCTGTTGTGAAACTTAGACAATGATGCTCCTGGTGAGACCCATGTAAATCCTTACATGCGGTATGTATTCCCTGTGGTGCTGTTTCTTTCTGGGAGATGGATCAGGACTATCATTTTGCTGTACTGTGTAACATCAGCTTCTCATACAATAATAGTACAGGTTAAGACACTGCTCTGGTATTTCTATTCCCTCTTTCATCTTCCCTTTCTCCTTCAGGCTAGTTACACTGGCTCTCGAGAATTTTATATATCCATGGAATGTCCAAGCCAGCATGCTGCTATTGCTGTGTCTCCTCAGTTTGTTTCAGGTTTTCTACAGGGGTAAACTACTATTTATAAAACATGCTCCTGATGCTTCTGATAAGTGTTGCTTACCGTACTTGTCAGCACTGTGCTCTGACAGTGCATGAGTAACTCAGGGATGAACTGTACAGTGTCATCACACCAAATGTCTGCTGCCATTCATGGACCATCCAGGGTTGGTGCAGATCAGTACTGAAGCTGTTGACTGAGGTGAAATATCTGAAGACTTTGGCAGGTGGCTAATACCAGGATGGTTGTTGTGGAAATCCTGTGTGGGTTGACACGAAGGAAGAGGGTACTGCGCCAGTGGACTGGTATCCTCTGAGATTTGGTGTCCACATGCTGGCCAGCCTGTCCTTTCATAGAACCACAGAACGGTTTG